GTAACTTAAACAAGGTGAAGTTCTGATTATTGCCACAGCTCTTCTCAATCTAGGTTTAAAATATAACTTCCTTAAACAGGTGAAGAACATCTGCTAAAAAGAAGGATTTTGTACTGGTTGTGGTAGAAGTGGTCAGTTGTAGTGCTTAGAAAAAAATTAGTGAAACTGCAGAAAAGTATCTTGAAGTTAGAGATTTAAACTGGGAAAACTGGAAAGCATGATGGCAAAACGAGCAGGACCATCAGAAACTGGCAGAATTACAATAACTTAAAGATAAATTAGAAATCCCGAGGACAAATTCGATTAAATATTTTATATTTATTATGTTGGGTTACATTAAAGAGTTTGGAAAGCTAATTTAGTAATTTGATACATTTATAAATTTTTTTGGGAGAGCAAATCTTGCTTCCTGTTTCCTTGTTTAACTCCTTATTAGTTGGTGGCGGTAAAGCATTTTAACAATTTTGCCAACCACCATAAAAGCTTACATGAACAAGAAGAAGAAGAAGAACATCAAACAATCCTCAAAAGCCAGTCAACAAATCAATATCCAGAAAAAATCATGACTAATGCTCCTATTGATTTCATTTAACACTTAACTGGGACAAAAATGCAAAAAAAAAAAAAAAGATGTGTTAAGGATGTCCAAAATTGGGAGCAGCACTGATCGAGAAACAAAACAAGATTAATTAAAAACATTAATGCCCTCCTTAAAAAACTACAATCTGTTCAAAGTTTATGCAAACAATATGAAAACATTAAGTGATGCAACAATGATATTTATGTAACACCAAAAATGTCATGTTTCCCCAAAGCTAAGTAGATGGTTCCTCTCATTCTCTATTTTTTAGCAACAAAAAGATCTAATAGAAACCTCAGGCAAAAGATCCAGTGTCAGAATAATCTTTTTTTTTTATTCACTTTGTACAGTGATTCTGTTTCTATAATATATTCTTTACATGTAACATGAAATGTCCAGGTTGAAGCCAGATTATTCCCTTGACATCAGCTCAGTGCAGCTTTGCAGCTCCTTCATTTGGTTTTATGGCTCTCTGTTGTATTCCCAAATCTCACAGGGCTCATTAAACCCCTGGTATTTTCAGGCAACAGCAGCTAGTAGAAAGACTTTAATAACCCTTTGTTCATCACACGCCCTCCACTAATTAATGCCAGTTCGTCAACGTGATGCATAAGATTAAGATTCAACTTTATCGTTAATGCATGTCACAAGTGCAGAGCAGCGATATGCAGATTACATCCAACCAGAAGTGTTAAAGCACTGATAAGGTAATATGTAGAGCAGTGGATCAAATTATTTATCAATGTGCCTAAACAAGGGCAGTTACTGTGCATACTGGCAAACTGTGACTAACAGTCATGATTAATTGTTGTTTATACTATAAATGAAGTAAAGAGTGATTTCAGAAATTGATAAATAAATAAAAATAAGGTGCAGTAAGGTATTATAGTATGTGGTGTTATATTACCTGCTAAAAAAAACAGGTAATGTAACTCATACATCCCTGTTAAAAAATCAGCAATTATTGAGATCTAAATAACATTTTATTTAATAAAATTTGATTTCCTTGATTTGAGCAGATCAGTAATACAATTGGCAAATAGAATAAAATATCCACATTTAAGAGAAAAACACTACATTATCTCATTTCAAGTGCATCTTATGTCAAGGCAAAGAATACTAATTTTATTGGCAGATTGTCTCATTTATCTGCTTAAATTAAGGACAAATTTCCATCCATCCATCCATCCATCCATCCATCCATCCATCCATCCATCCATCCATCCATCCATCCATCCATCCATCCATCTTCCACCACTTATCCGGAGTCTGATCGTGGGGGTAGCAGCTTCAGTAGGGAGGCCCAGACACCCCTCTCCCCAGCCACTTGGGCCAGCTCCTCCGGGGGAATCCCAAGGCGCTCTCAGGCCAGCCGAGGAACATAGTCCCTCCGCTTGTATGCGGGAACTCATTCTTTCGCTCATGACCCAAAGCTCATGACCATAGATGAGAGTAGGAATGTAGATCGAGCAGTAAATCAAGATCTTTTCTTTATGGCTCAGCTCTCTCTTCACCACAACAGACCGGTACAGACCACGCTTCACAGCAAACGCAACACCAGTCCGTCTATCGATCACCCGCTCCACCTTCCCCTTCGTGAACAAGACCCCAAGATACTTAAACTCCTCCACTAGGGGCAGTACATCCTCCCCAACCCTGAGAAGGCACTCTACCCTTTTCCAGCTCAAGACCATGGTGTCGGATTTGGAGGCACTGATCCTCATCCCAGCTGCATCACACTCGACTGCGAACTGCTTCAGTGTGATGCAGTAGATCATGAAGCCAATAGAACCACATCACCTGCCGATTACAGAGATGCAATCCTGAAGCCAACAAAACAGATCCCCTGAACACCTTGGCTGCGCCTACAAATTCTGTCCATAAAAGTAATTTTTAGTTATGAGTCATTTATAGAACCGTTTTTGTAGTGTAGTTCCACCCTTTCATAATATTGATCCTTATATGAAAAAAGCTGTATTTTATTTATAAACTTATTTTTTTTTGGCAATCAGATTGCTTTATAACTGAAAATGCAGGGTGATGCCTCCCTGCTGGGAATTGCTGCCTGATGCACCTCCAACAGTTCCTAGAACATGGTAATTTTTACAATGAGCGAGTCACCAGCTGGGACCACCTGTCATGGATGTTTCACTCCTTTAACCCCAGTACATCTCTTGGTGGTGGAGCGAGGGCAGGGATCTCTCCATGTCATCCCCTTCTGATACCCTAGGTGTTAGGCCCCCACCCTCTATCTCTCCTCATTACCCACAGCCACAAACTGCCTTTTTGTGCATCCTCCACCAATTCCCTGATTGCTTTGCGACGTACATATAGTTTATTAGAGAAATATAATAGCTTGGAACAGCTTAAAAAAAAACAGGTTGCATAACTTGAATTCATTTGTCCTTTTTTACGGTGTGGAAAGTTAAATTTAAAATATAGCTGATCTTATATGCAATATTCCTCAGACTTGTTTAAAAAGGGGAGAAAAAAGATCTCTGCACTGAAAAATAGATCACATTTCAATGCTCAGGTTACATGTAGACTATTTAGAGATGAGTTTGTGCTTTACCTTTAGATATAATCTTTCTTAAGGTAGGTAATAATTTTACAGTTTATTTTATGGTGTTATTAGTTGTTTTTATTTGTACCTAGGGTTGTCACGATACTAAACTTTTCAACTCGATACCGATACTAAGGAAAATATTCGATACTCGATACCATTTTCAATACCACAAGGATAACATTTCAACAGAAATATTTTGATTAATAATTAAAATACAATAAATAAATAAATACAATAAACAATAAGAACAACATTTTGAGTTTGTTTGCTGTGCACAGTATTTAGCAAGCTTGATAAAAAACTTACAAAATTAAAATGAAGTTTTCCTTACTTGGCTATGCTTTGCACACATAACAATGACACTAGCCAAACCAGTTAAGAAACAAAAATAATTCTCAGCAGCTGCACTTCTTACAAAAAAAGTCTGAAACTGAAAAGTGCACAGAATTATTCAATCACAGTGTTCAGAAAGTGCATTTTCCTCTATTCTGCACTTTAGATGAATGACAGTTTAGGTGCGACTGGTACTCGATACTTTTGAAAATGAGTATTGTATCCGGATACAACGTTTCAGTATCGATACTTTTGACAACCCTATTTGTACCTCTTAAAAAAGTTCCTTCAGGAAGTGCATCCCTCCAATTTGGGAATCTAATTATTAATTAATTTAAAATTTGATTCTGTTCTATGACTCCAATATTTGAGATAATTACCTTTTTACGTCCCAACTGGACTATTGCAACTCTCTCCTTTTTGGCCTTCCTCAAAAATCACTCGATAAACTACAACTGGTCCAGGACTTCCTCTATCCACCACATCACCCTGGTCCTCCGACAGCACCACTGGCTCCCTGTGCAGTTCCGCATTCCATATAAAATTGTCATGTTGAAATTCAAGGCCCTTCACCACCTTGCCCCCCCCATATCTGTCAGGCCTCCTGCATGTTCCCACCCCCTCCCGTGCTCTCAGATCCTCATCTGCTTTACACCTGTCTCTCCCTTCTGCCCGTCTCACCACCATGGGGAGCAGAGCATTCAGCCGCTGTGCCCCCCGCCGCTGGAACTCTCTACCACCCCTACTTAGAAATAAAGACTCACTTCTCCATTTTAAATCACAACTTAAAACTAATCTGTTTAAAATTGCCTATTTTCTTTAATATTAAGTTCCCTCCCCCAGCCTGTGTATTTTTTTTATGTTTATTTTATTCTTATATTCTTAATGTTTTTTTACTCTTTGTTTCTGCCATTGTTTTTATCTTTCCTTGTGTCCAGAAAGGCGCCTTTTAAATAAAATGTATTATTATTATTATTATTAATTGTTTTCCTAGCCAGATTGATGTCAGGTGTGTGCTTCACTATGACATTTAGCCTGAGCTAATGCACAGAAGTTGCTGCACGTGTTCCTTGCAGGCTAAGGTAGTGTGCATCAAGCTGTTGTGTTCAGCTCTACATGAATGTCCAATCTATGGAAGCCTGCTGGGGAATTGGTCTCCATCTCCATGGAGCATACTTTGGCAGGTGGTTCAGCAGCAGCCCTTTTCTTGTTGTTGTCTAGGTAACAACTTTATAGACTAGGTGTACTTTGACCTTTAAAATGAACGTCAGTTTCAATTTCTCTTCAATTGATACTCTGAGGTTGGTTCCTATTTATTTAACCCTTGTCTGGTTAAATTGGTGTTTGGGTTTAGTCATTGAAAATGGTTCTCGCTGTATTGAATGTTCTTTTCAAAAAAGTTGCCTTAAGTATAAAAAAAATCAATATTGTACCATTTTAAATAAAAAAGTTAAACAATCATACAATGTACAAGAATGAAACCATTGTCTTAAAGCAAAACTGTTTCTTTCTCCTTAACAGGAATCCTGTCTGCTACAGGGAATGGTTACGTCATTTACACGACCATCAGACGGAAGACCAAACTGAAGCCTCCTGAGCTCATGACTGTTAACCTGGCCATCTTTGATTTTGGCATATCAGGTAAATTGAGTCTCATTCAATGCATACATCTAAAACTATCCTAAAACTGACAATTGGGTTCAAGCATGAATGTTTCTAGAGGTAATCTTAAACTAAAACGACATTGTGTATACAGACAAAAATACATCTTTTACAGTTGATATAAAACGTTGGTCTCTTGAAATGAAAAAAGAAGATCATTCCACATTTATTTTGCAAATATTATCTGTTTAACCAAGTCTTTCAATCTTAGATCTACCAGAAGTCTTTTTGATTTTGTTTTGAGATAGATGTACTATTAAAGATTAGATTCTGTTAGATTGTTAATCTTCATTTGAGATAATCTAACTCAACAATAAGTGCAATGATATGCTAGTGCAGGGGTCTTCAACGTTTTCCAGGCCAAGGACCCTCAAAGTGATGGCTAGATGGAGCGGGGACCCCCTAATTATATATACCGGTAGTATTAAATAGTGTTACATCAAACTGGTCCTATAGTCACTCTATAACAGATGGAGTAATGTAACTAAAGTAATTTCTTCCTGGGATTATTAAACTATTTCTGATTCTGATTCCTGGTTGATGGGACAGGTGTTGTGAATGAAACGGTGCCCAGCTTGAAAGAGCTCCTGTGTGTCGCTGAATGTGAGCATTGAAGACTGAAAGACATCTTCTGCCTCCATTTATCTGTTTACTACAGTGTGTTCAATTCATGTTAATGTGCATTTAAAGACATTTAAATTAGTGGAAAGAAATTACTGTGGGGAATATGAAAAAAAAAAAATTGAATCAACCAAAACTTTCGTGACCCCCATGCAGAACCTCTATGAACCCCCTAGAGGTTGAGGATCCCCTGGTGAAGAACTCCGCGCTAGTGCAACTGATAAGACTTGTTTTGAGAATAAATATCATGAATTGAAAATTCAATCGATGTGAAATTAAGATCAATCAAGATTACTTTTTGACTAGATACAAGATCAATAGACTTGGTTAGATAGCAATCTTTGCACCTTTAATGTAGAATATGGCCTCTTAAACCTAATTGAAAAACAAAACAAACAAAAAATTGTGTTTAATGGATATAAGAGTACAGAATTTTGTGGTTTAATAAGTTTATATACTGTTTACAAAATACCTCATCAGTCATGTGTTTAAAGTAAACTTATTACTTGGTGTTTAATGATGTTTTCCTCATGTTTTAGATTTTATTGAGTTATTCTGTCTTCTCTAGTATTTTTTATTTTTTTGGGTAAAAATCAAACCACAGAGATCTTGAAGAATGAAAGGACCGAAGGGTTTTTTAATCTGAAAAACTCATGCAGAGCGAAAAGACAATTAGAAAAGTGTAATTGATACAATTAATTTAGTCTTTGAAGCGTAGACCTTGGCAGGAAACAAAGCGCTGAATTTGGATTGATATGCATGAACAGGAGTAAAGAACAGGACTGCTTCCCCCCAGGCCTGAAACTGGTGGTGGAGTGGAGATAGATGAAGTTGGTCAGTCTGTAGACTGCTGGTTAGTTAGACGGTCTGCTGAGCTTTATGGGGAGATCCAGTGGACTGCATGAGCTGATACTAGAGCTTCACTCAGGGACCTGGAAGATGGAAGTCCAATTGGATAACACAGGTTGAGAGAACCTGTAAATGATGAGCAAGCATGAAGCGACAGTGGAGAGGAAAAACTCCCCATTGGGGACAAACCTCTGGCAGAACCAGGCTCAACATGGCGGTGTTTTTCCAGACTAGTTGAAATGAGACATGGAATGCAGTAAGAGTCCGGGAAGAATGGAACTCTGTTGAAGTTTTAGCTACGATGGTGGAGGAGGGGCTGGAGGTGGGTTGAAACATTTCATCTGAATGAAGTCACACTGCGCATCCGCCGCCTGCGCAGCAGGTAACAGTTGTGGATTGGAGGCCTTTGCAAGATGATCTTTGGATGATAATTGGCTTTTGTGGAGTCGTGGTTCATAGCTGATTGGCTGTGTCATAGGTGGATGAAGGCAAGTAATCAGTTTATTCAGTTGAACTTCCACTTAGGCTCTATTTAAAAAAAATAGCCAAACCGAGGTCTAAACTTATCCAGTACAGATGATTTGATGGGTCCTTTAATAGACTGTTAATTCTCCTAAACCTTTACATAGATTTGGATAAATTAAAAGGATTTTTGGAACAAAATTTCCAAATAGCAATTGTTTACCATGAACAATTAATAGCTTACATTACCATCAAGGTTGGCTAAGCCAGATATAAAGTTTAGGGGGGATAATTTTTTTCAAATATGTTCAGGTTAGTATAAATAATTTTTCTTCTTAATCTTTATCTCTAGTTTTTCTTTCAGCTTTTACCTTCCAATGATCCCTGAAAAGGAAAAGGTTGAATACATGCAATCATAAAAAAAGGCTACAGGAAATCTAGTTGCTTGATATTAACATCTGATTCTGGAACATTTCGCTTTGTCAAAATACAAAATGAAGGTATATGAGGGGGGAACTATTTTTTCTGATTTCAGAAAGCATTCCCCTGTGAAGGTTTAATGTATTCGTATTTCCAGAACACTCAGCGAAACGTTTGCATCACCCAGCTTTCATACTGTGCTGCTGATGAGCTAAGTGGAGACAGCTATGCACTATCATTTACGTAAAGAAATAGAGTGGGACCACAGGCGCGCTGTGGAGAAAACTCACACAGTCCCAGGCTCTGGCCAAGAGAAAAAAGGAAATGTGATTTGAACACCTATTGTATTTATAAAAATAGAAAATAAATTGAAATATGTATGTAAAAAAAAAAAAACAATCAAAAGAATCAAACAATCAAAGAAAAACGTTTAACATTTTCATAACTACATGAATTTCAGTGAGGAGATGTTTAAAATACATGCACATTTATATCCATTTAAAATGGCTATAACTACTCATCAGTGTATTACATTACATAACCCTATATTTGACCGCCCGCTCGTCTTTGAATGCCCCGTTTTTATATTCCAACTTTTAAAGAATTGTAAAGCAGCAATCTCAAATGTTTTGTGAATTAAGGACTAGCTTCTGTCTTGTCTTAGAGTGTGAACAAACCGAACAGGTTCCAATGTGATTGGAGTAGGTCGTGGAAAGTGCCTGATGAGCCACAGCTGGGCTTTCAAAGCTGTGCCTGAAGAAAATTCTCTGAGTAAAACACTTTACCACATGAAACGTCCAGCAGTCCGGGTAAAAGCTTTGCTGAGTCCGGACCTGGACCAGAGGATGGCAATTGGTGACCCCTGCCCTAGTGGTATGGAGGAGATTTTGGTCCACTAATTTTAAACACATTTTATAAATGCAAGGTTTGGTAACCACTGCATGAGTTTGTTCCCCAGGGACTGGCAGAAATTAAAGTAATTAAAATGTGTGATCTTAATCTTTACTAGATGTTGCAGAGTGACTTAAAACAGGCTTGGGAGCAACTCCATGTTATTAGAGCTTAAGGTGTTCTAGCCTTTTCATAGCTAGAACAGATTAGTTTAAGGTTTTTTCTGATAAGAAGTAAATTTTTAAAATTTTTGTTCTTTCCCTGTAGTTAAACTGTTGTCTCTTTTAGCGATAAATAGATAAAGGACACCATTATAAGATTTCCTTTAAAAAAGCTTGATTTTTAATAGATCATTCATTTTACATCTGCATTTTCGTACTCACTGTTAATGATTAAGCCTAATTTTTCAAAACCCTTTCTGACTAAATACATCTGATGTCCTTCCTTGAGCTAACCATCTATGGAGAGCACCGACCCTGCTCAAGCTGCTCTCTGGTTCATTTCCTGTCACAAGCCCTGCTAGAAAGCCCTGGATCCGAAAGAAATTCTGATCCAACCTCCTCTGACAGAAACTCTGTGAGTGACGAGGAAAACGCATTGGGATTGCTGGACTTTTTTTTATGTCCACATTTTTTTATTTTGTTTCGTCAACAGATGACAGACTGTCACACCTTTGCTTAAAGCAGGAGAAGTAGTTAAAAACAGCCTGCGCAAAGTAGAAGCGGTCTGCATTCTTATCAAGTCATATATATCTATATATATCTATATATATATATATATATATAGATATATATGCTTACAGTGGCGGTTCTACACCAAATGTACCAGGGGGGCAGCATTTTTCATGGGGGCAGAAAAGCATGAAATACAAAAACAGGGCAAGGGATTCAAATATATTAAGAAAGCTGCATAGCTGAAATTTCCATTCAATTGGGTTTAATTAAAATTCTATGTCTTATTAGGTCAATATACATTCATGATTTAGGAATTTTACATATTTTTTCCTTAATTTAAGTTAAAATTACTGTTTCGTATTAAATCTGAATTAGAACTCAAGAAAAACTGATAAATTTCCCTGTAAAATTTTGTTGTTTGTTTTTCATATGGTTTAAAAAAAAACATTTAGCAGATGAATGGTAAATCAATATCACTGAAGCTATAACCTTATTGTTTTTAAATAAGTAAAACAGAACTTGCAAAGAACAAAATTAAATAGATCCAAAGGAACTATCAGTAACCATGTCTGTTCCAGCACATATCATCATTAGAATTAGTTTGAGTATTATGTCCTCAGGGACAGGGGCCATAACAGGACAGCCAGGACATGTTCGACAGGGGCACTTTATGTATATATACATAAAAAAATTATCTTTTCAATATAGGCTAAGAATGCCCTTTGTATTATCGACCACAGTTTTGCTTAAACTCGATCGCTTGCTCTAAGTAATCTCTGTTTCTGCTCATGAAGGACACTCACAGAATATAATTTACCCTCTTATGCTAATCCTACCGCAGCAAAGGATTTTGAATTTCATAATGACAAAAAAGTTGCTCTAATCTGCTGTTCCTTATGTAAAACACAGAGGGAGTTGAATAGAGTCTGGAGCAGAAAGAAACTTGAATCCAAACAGGATGTGCAAAATTACTTCACCCAAGATGTCTGTAGCTAGGAAATAGATTTATTTTATTATGCATCTCAGCTGGTGACAGCGGTTGCCAGGAGCAGACTATGTCTT